ATGGTAACAGTTACTATGGTAACAGTTACTATGGTAACAGTTACTATGGTAACAGTTACTATGGTAACAGTTACTATAGTAACAGTTACTGTGGTAACGCTTGCTATGGTAATAGTTACTATAGTAACGCTTACTATGGTAGCGGTTACTATGAGTACAGTTACTATGGTTACAGTTACTATGGTAGCGCTTACTATGGTAGCGGTTACTATGGTAACAGTTACTCTAGTAACAGTTACTCTAGTAACAGTTACTGTGGTAACACTTGCTATGGTAATAGTTACTATAGTAACGCTTACTATGGTAGCGGTTACTATGGTAACAGTTACTATGAGTACAGTTACTATGGTAGCGCTTACTATGGTAGCGGTTACTATGGTAACAGTTTTTCTAGTAACAGTTACTGTGGTAACGCTTGCTATGGTAATAGTTACTATAGTAACGCTTACTATGGTAGCGGTTACTATGGTAACAGTTACTATAACAGTTACTGTGGTAACGCTTGCTATGGTAATAGTTACTATGGTTACAGTTACTATGGTAACAGTTACTATGAGTACAGTTACTATGAGTACAGTTACTATGGTTACAGTTACTATGGTAGCGCTTACTATGGTAACAGTTACTATGGTAACAGTTACGATGGTAACAGTTACTATGGTAACAGTTACGATGGTAACAGTTACTGTAATAACGCTTGCTATGGTAACAGTTACTGTAATAACGCTTGCTATGGTAACAGTTACTATGGTAACAAGAACTATGGTAACAGTTACAATGGTAACAGTTACTATGCTAATACTTACTGTGGTAACGCTTACTATGGTAACAGTTACTATGGTAACAAGAACTATGGTAACAGTTACTATGGTAACAAGAACTATGGTAACAGTTACAATGGTAACAGTTACAATGGTAACAGTTACAATGGTAACAGTTACTATGCTAATACTTACTGTGGTAACGCTTACTATGGTAACAGTTACTATGGTAACAAGAACTATGGTAACAGTTACAATGGTAACAGTTACAATGGTAACAGTTACAATGGTAACAGTTACTATGCTAATACTTACTGTGGTAACGCTTACTATGGTAACAGTTACTATGGTAACAAGAACTATGGTAACAGTTACTATGGTAACAGTTACAATGGTAACAGTTACTATGGTAACGCTTACTATGGTAGCGGTTACTATGCTAACTGTTACCATGGCCACCATACGAGTGCATGACGAACGGACGACAAAGCGAAACTATAAGGCTTTCGAGTCTGAGCCACGAAACCCTAAAAATCACAGCAGAAAAATAAATTTTTAAAATCAAACATGACATAAAAAAACAGTTGCAGTTGTATCAAAACTTTTAATCTAGAAAAAAATCTAAATAAACCGTATATACATTTAGGTAATGGGTGGAACAAGTTCGATAAATGGAATGTTATACGTACGCGGTAATCGTGAGGATTATAATAATTGGAGCAATTTAGGTAACACTGGATGGAGTTACAGAAATGTTTTGCGATATTTTAAAAAATCTGAAAGAAATCGAGATGAAGAGGTAAAATACAGATATAGAATTATTATTATTGTTAATAATATAAAACTAATAAATGTTAATAAAAATAATAAAAATACAATGAAATTTGTTTTTAAGTGTAGAATTAAATGAGCCGTGATAACTTTTATACTTAAAATACAGTTTTCAGTGTATAAAAGTAATAATTTGTTTGCTGAAAAAAAAAAAATCTTCAAATAACTTATTTTATTTTTCCAATTAGATTGTTTATGATAATTATGGCTATCATGGAACAAATGGATATCAATCTGTACAACGATTTCCGTATGTTGATAAAAATTTGAACATTATACAAAAAGCATTAAGAAGACTTGGTTACGAATCAATAGATGTTAATGGCGAATCACAATTGGGATCAATGATTTTACAAACAACATCATTTAATGGCCAGAGACAAAGTACTAATAATGCATTTATTCGACCAATAAGAAGAAATCGACCAAATTTATTTATCGAAACTGAAGCGTACGTGACGAAAATAATAATTGATTCAAAAACAAAAAAAGCCACTGGTGTTGAATATACAGTAACATCGAATAATAATACAAAATTAATTGCTAAAGCAAAAAAAGAAGTGATTTTATCAGCTGGAGCAATTAAATCACCACAATTGTTAATGCTTTCTGGTATTGGACCAGCTGATGAACTTCAAAAACACAATATTCGTTTAATTCGTAATACAACAGTTGGCTCAAATCTACAGGATCATTTACAATTTGTTGGTGTTTATGCAATATTAGATAGTAATCATACAACAGATACGAGTTTTGATCAGAAAAAAATGGATCTCACTTTGTATTTAAGAACACACAGTGGTCCATTGTCGGCAACGGGAATATCGACAGTTGTTGCTTTTGCACAAACTGAACATGAATACAGTGATGAAGCACCCGATGTTCAATTGTGTTTCACGGGAATGAAATACAGTGATAATTCATTGTCATCTGTATTGTCATATTATGATGCTGTGAATTTTTATCCAATTCTACTAGCACCAAAAAGTAAGGGATTCATTAGATTAAATGAAACTGATCCTGTATGGGGTTCACCGTTAATTTATCCAGGTTATTTGTCAAATGACATTGATGTCTCGCGTATGATTGAAGGCATAAGAAAAGGATTGAGATTATTTAAGGGTAGTACATTTACGAAAAATAATTATAAATTATATGATGTACCACAGGCGCCGTGTAATAATTTTGAATTTAATAGCGATGAATATTGGGTTTGTATGTTGAGATCACATACAGGTGTTGGTGCACACGCTGTGGGTACATGTAAAATGGGACCTTATGATGATCCCAGGGCTATTGTTGATCCAAGATTAAGAGTTTATGGCATTAGACGATTGAGAGTTGTTGATGCATCAATTATGCCGGTTATACCACGGGGTAATATTATGGCACCGACAATGATGATTGCCGAAAAGGCTGGTGATATGATTAAAGAAGATTGGTTGGGTGATTAGATTTTGTATTTAATTGCTTTGATTATTATTATTATTATTATTATTGTTATTTCGTCTCCGTCACCAAAATTGCCTATGGATGCATCCTAAATGATTTTTTTTAATAAATTTTGAAAATAGTCATTTGTCAATAGTCGAAAATTAATTTATTTAATAAATTACTAATTAATTCAACATAATTAATTAGTAGTGAATTTATTAATTTAATATGCAATATTAATACTGATTAATTATATTGAATTAATTAATAATTAATTTAATTTAATTTTTGACGACTGAAAATTTGTTATAATTAATAATTAATTTATATTAGATATTATAATAATTATAATAAAATACACTATATGTGTATAGTCTAATCATGTAAAAAGTTTATAATTGTGTGAAATTAATTTTAAAAAAAATAAATAATATTAATTTAAATAAATTATTTACTCATATTTGGGATATAAAAAATTTCAATAAAATAATATTATTTAATAACAATAAAACAAATATAAAATGTAATAATTCTGTGAGATTCGCTTTCAATAAATTTTATTCACTTTCAATTTAAATATAAAAAAGCAATTAGAAAATATAAAAAAAAAACTAGTCGCTAAAAAAAATATGTTTTTCTACTCATCATTATTAATTTAATAGTAATAAAAAAAATATTAATAGCATTAATTTCAACAATTTAAAATAATTTAATGATTATAGTGAATACAGGTGAAGATGATAGATTATGTAGTGAAAGTTCGTAATATTATGACAAAGTATCAGAAAAAACTTAGTTTAAAAGAAAAAATTTATTTTAATTCTAAAAAAAGGGTTATTAATTAATGTGATCATCATTATAAATTATTTAATTTCTTGTATATCATTAAAAAAAATATAAATTAAAATATATATAATTAAATAATTAACTTTTAGTACTAATAAAGCTTTGCGGTATATATAATACACATGTGTATTGAAAGTTGCATATAGAAAGGAGTCGAACATTTCTATCCAATGGGAAGTTTAAACATTTATTCTAGAGACAACATTTATAAAGCAAAGAATAAAAAAGTAATACAGTTTAAAAAAATAAATTCTAAATTTCAATCTCTATTTTTTAATTAATAAACTTTTTTTTGCGTGAATTCACTGAATTTTAATATTCCTTGATAATAAAGTATAATATATATGTTTGCAATAGAAAGTTTCAAGAATTATCAAATGTACAAATTAAAATAAAAATTTATGTACAGTTTTTAGGAATATTGACGTAATGCATGTGTCATTTTTTGCGAAAAAAAAATGGAAGTCATTTTATACATCGTGCTTTAGAAAGAGAAACGTAAATTTTATAGCTTTCAGTATAGCTATCGCAAAAATTACATCACAAAACCCCCTTTGGCAAATGTGACGATTTCTTCGGAATATATTTAAATATATTTAACAATACGACCTATTTTTAAATTTAAATATAAGAATATAAATGTCTTTTCAAAGCTTCATCTTTCATCTTAGCTTCGGGCATTTGTGCCATCATTAGGAATTTAACAATAGTATTTTAGAAAAATAAAAATTTAGAATTTTTTAGAAATATATTAATATTTTCTTTAAAATACTCTCTGAATGTTGAAATGTGATTAAATTTTTTTACTTTAACTATTTTATTTAATATCACTGTTAAAATTACACTTTAAAATATTTCAGCATAATTTATAAAATATGTTAGCTCAGAAAAATCTTTATTTTAAATAAAAAAATTTTGTGTTGAAAAGAATAATTAAATTGTAGAAATTAATTTTATTTTAATGTAAATAATGACTGTGATATATATATATATATTAATCTGTATAATTAATCATTAATTTATATTACAGTAGGAAAATAATATCCGCCAGAGAAAAATATATAAAAGTAGTGCATTTTATTCCCTTTTAATTTTATAAAAAAAAATTATTCACATACCAAGTTGATATACAATATTATAAAAATCTAAACTTACTGTCTAAATCTAATTAATTATAATTACATTTATAAATTAATTGGTGGAATTTACAATTAATGTAATTCTTTGTCGTTACTTTGCTATTTTATAATTAGAGAATAAGAAATTTTTTTATTTTTTGTTATTTGGCCTAATATTTTTTTGTTCTAATTCTTATTTTTTCCAATCTTCTAATATTTTCTTAACCTACTTTTTATATGATCTTGATCTTTATCTGGGTCTAATTTATATTTTAACCTAATAAATAAAATAAGAATTTAAATGTACGTATAAAATTAAAACTAATTTTTTTTTATTCTTTGACTGTGTTTTTTTGCCAAAAACTGTATAGCTGATGGAGACTTTTCATTTACGGATTCGTAATCAGCGTGAAAACACATATCAAAAACAGCATTGACATTTTCTGCACCAATTTTTTTTTTTACAATTTTGTTGTTCTGTGTTATAGACCAAATAAGATTTAGGTTACATAAAAATTAGACTAAATCTGATCTGATTTTTTCTTTTTCAGATCATTAAATTAAATTTATTATTTTATTCTTTCTAAAATATTTTTATACTCTGTCCAATAATTAGACACTGTTTGTTAAATTTAAAAAAATTTTAGGCCAAATAAAAATAATTTTGCTACATTAGATCAAAAAAAAATTCGGTTTTACAAAGTAATCCACAAACATTTCGTTTTCCGAGTCAAATAATTGTAAAATTATTATTATTTATCTATTGCTTCATCAACTTCCATGCCAATCTTCTTTAATCATATCACTAGCTTTCTCGGCAATCATAATTGTCGGTGCATTTGTATTGCCTCGTACAATAATTGGCATAATCGATGCATCAACAACGCGAAGTTTACTAACACCATAAACTCTCAATCGTGGATCAACAACAGCTTCTGGATCTTCTCTTGGTCCCATTTTACATGTACTCGTTGGATGAAATATCGTTGCTGTATATTCCATTAAAATACAAGCCCAATATTCATCGCTATCAAAAGTATAATGCTTACATGGCTGCAAAGGAACGTCAATCATTCGCCAACCATGTTCCATAAATACATTTGTTTTAAATAATCGTTGAGCTATTCTGATACCTTCAATCATAATATTTAAATCGGGCATTTCTGTATAATGACGTGGATAGATAAGAGGCGCACCCCAAATTGGATCTGTATTATTCAATTGTATAAATCCTCGACTTCTTGGATAAAGTAAAATGGGTTTAACATTAATTGAATCGTAATATGCCAATGGTACAGCTTTTAATTCAGCAGCCATGTCATTTGAGAGGAAATCATGAATATTATTTCCATCGAAAGTATATTGTATGTCGGGTGCCTTAAAACTGATTTCATATTTGGACTGAACAAATACACCAACTTGTGCTGCTGCTGTTGATGCCAATGGGCCATTGTGTGTTTCCAAAAATTGATAAACATCATTCTTCATTTGTTCAATATTTGTCATTGATTTATTATTTATGTCAATTACCAATCCATCCATTGTCACATGATCTTGTAAATTGTAACCAACTGGTGAGTCGTAAATAATTTTAATTCCATGTTTCTTGAGTTCATTAGCAGGTCCCACACCCGATAGTTTGAGAATTTTCGGTGAATTTATACTACCAGCTGATAGAATAACTTCTTTAGTGGCCATTGCAACTTTTGTGAATCCAGTCACTGTATCCAAATATTCGACACCTGTGAAGAACAAAAAATTTGTTAGAAGAAAATTGTTTATGTTTCATTGTAATATTTGTATGTTTCAAATTTGTTTGATTGTTTTCTCAAAAAAAGGCTGAACTGTTTAGGCATTTAGCGAATACAAGAGAAGCTGAACTGTTTTGGTATTCAGCGAAAACAGGAATGGCTGATCTGTTTAGATATCAAACAGTAAGAATAAGTGAAGTTAAGCAAGTTGGCTTTCCAGTTTTGAAATCCAGTGACAACAGTGTTGCAGTATTGGACACTTTGGGTGCTGCAGCATTCAATGCCACAAAGAGGAAGGACCATAGAGGCACCTACTTTCTTAAGGTTTCCCAGGTCTGTTTGGAAAGACTAGGAAGTAGAAGAGCAAGTGCTTTAAGCGTTTCGAGTGTCAGCAGCGAAAGAAGTTTTATTCCATCTGACATAGACAACGAGGCCATAAATGAGGAACGCGAAATATGCGTCAGTTTAAGGAAGGAAGAATCTGAGTTCCTTCTGCGGATCGAAGAGGAGGTCGTCAACATGGTAAAATCTTGCGACATCCAGAAGACCGTTAATCGAACGATCAAGGATGGATTAAAGGTTCTTCAGGGCCTTATAAATTTGGCGAAACAGAAGCTAATAAAGGGGATGTGAAATTAAAGTCTGCTTTAGGGTATGCAGCATGCAACGGGGAGGACCGGACCAACAAGAGAGAGCGTATCCATGAGAAACGTCTTCGACGCGCAGTCATGGAGGCGCAAAAGAAGAAACGAAGTATCGGCAGTCCGGAAGAGACAAAAGCCGAAGTAAAAAAAGGAGGAAGCACCTCCATTGAGGAAGGATGTCAAGGTAATGGAGGCACCGAAACCGAAGCAGTCCAACAAGACGAAGGAATCGAGAGGATCAACAGTGGTCGTCCGAAGCGCTTTAGGTGAGACATATGCTGATGCGTTGGGAAAGCTCCGCAAGGAAGTTAATCCTGACATCAGCCATACAAGAGTCTTTATAGCAAGGCTCTTTTAAAAGGGGATCTCTTGATCAGGATTGAAAGTAACTCGGACAAGGTAGCTTTTACTGCTGAAGTGATCAAGGCTGTTGGCAGCATGGGTAAGGTGCAGGCGATGGATCGATAGGTTACACTCGAGTTTCACGACCTGGATATCTTTACCCATAAAGCGCTGGAACGAAAACTCGAAAAGCCAGGAAGCAGGAAGATGACAGTCTTAGGACCCAACAAGCCAGGGATGAAGTTCGCAGTTCTTGTCACCGACCAAGAAGAAGCTGCCAAACTGGAGGAATTGGGGCGCAAAAAGATTGGCTTTATGTGCTGCCAAATAAGAAACAGAGTCATGGTATTCCGGTGTCACCGATGCCGGGGTTACGACCATCATAAGTTTGCAGATTGCAAGAGTAGCCCCAGTTGCTTCTTGTGCAAAGTGAAGTCCGGCGACAAGGATCCTTTCAACTAAGTCGCTGGAAGTGGAGCATGCAAAGTTATTAAGTCAGCCTTCAAGGAAGCCTAAAAGATTCTCGCAAGAACCAAAGCCAAGTAGGCCAGTAAGATCGACAACGTCGAGGGTCACGATAGCGAGCTCCCAGGGATCGTAGATCGGGAACTTCGTAGATGTAGATCTACGAAGTTTAAAGCTTGACGGCAGTTCCGTAGTGTGAGGGTTAGTCCAGCCTATTTATATTGTTATACTATTGGTCAAGACGAGTTAGCCAGGATAACCTAGGTGTTAGACTTAGGAGTACTTCTATTCAACGATCATGGGGATTTGTCATGAGGTACTTAAAATTTTATATTTTTCTCCGGTCAGACTAATATTGGACTAAACGGAGAGAAAAAAGACTACGATAACCGGAGATCCAAGTAGTAATTTCCTGAGTGACTCAAGCAGTAGCATTAAAGTCAACACAACTTGGGTCCCAAATAGTTTTTGCCTGGCAAATACAAGCTGTATTAAGAGCCTGGTTAAAACTCAGAGGGTAAAGTAGGAAATGCTTGAATTTCCCAGCTTTATTAACGCGCTTCCTACCTTACCATCTGAGGTTTAACCAGGCTTTTAAAACATTTTGTGTTTGCCAGGCATAACTACTTGGGACAATTAATAATTAATTAATAAAGCTAGAATTGAACGAATATGAAACAGATTCTTGCGTTTTGCAGCACGACAGCTTCATTTACCATTTGACAGATACACTCATGCCTACAGGAATTTGCGTGTACTTTTGAACATTCTTTTGATAAAATTCAGATTTTTGTTTACTGATTTAATTTTTTTGGTATAAATTCTTAAATAGGTTAATACAATGCCCAACATTATTAGCAATGTTTAATGTTGATGTTCCATCTAGAGTATCTAGAAATTATTCAGTGTTTTCTGAATCATTTCATAGAACAAATTATGGATATCATTTAATGATTAATAGAATTTGTAGAGAGGCTAATCAATTTTTGAATCAAATTGATTTTTTTAAATTTGTTAATGCTTATGTATGAAAGGGCATGTCCCGTTAATAAATAAATGAAATGAAATAATAAAAAATTGGAATTAAACTGAATAGTAAGGACATTTAGTTTGGAAACTTGAATAATTTTAAAATTTGAATTAGGAGTTTGTTCTTTAGCATATTAAGTACAGAAAAAGGAACTAGGAAAAAGGAAATCTTCCACTTGAAGAAAAATTGATTAATTAGTATTTTAACTATTAATTATTATTATTAAGTATTAAGTAATTTTAACTTATTTCTTGTTTTATACAACACCTGTGGCTTCCTTTGTTTTTGGATCGATAATAACACGGGTCACGTGTGCTTGTGTTTCTATAATGAGATTCGAACGTTTTTGACGTATTGGTCGAATGAATGCACCATTTGTACTTTGTCGTAGACCATGAATCGAAGTACTTTGTAATTTTAATACACCAAGTTGACTTTCGGCGTTTGCATCAATATTGTTGTAGCCAATTTCTTCCCATCCTTTGATTAGAATTAGATTATTTGGATCTGTATAGGGAAACCATTCCACTGTTTGATATCCACCTGTTCCATGATAGTGAGGATTTTTTTCAACAATCTGTAAATATATTTTATTTTTTAAAACTTATTAAGATAGGAAATTTTATTTCATTGAATGGAATGAAATTTGATTACAGTAAAACTGAAGCAAGTAAAGTTTTTAAAATTACTAATGCAATGAAAACTAAACAAATACAGAGAGAAAAAGAATTGTTAATAAATAGAACCAATTTGTTGTTGAAGCAAAATTTTTGTTATTTCTACAATTTATTGGGTTTGCTGTAGTTACAAAATCATTTCAGGTGTTTGCTGTGACAACAAACTTAATTATTAATTTGTTTGTTGATATAAAAATAAATATTTTATTTAAAAAATTCGGACTAAAGGACATAGTAAACAAGGCTTTCGTTTATTTAAACGTTCAGAATTTGCAGAACATTAAATTCCGTTCTTCCCATTCTGCAACCTGATATGGTAACGAATGACCTTCCACTAAAATCTGTTGAGTACATATAAGAAATTTTGTTTTTATTTTTTTAGTAAACTATTATTACTTGATTTATTAATATTTTTTTACTAAAATTTAAGTGAAAAATTACTAAAAATTAGTTCTTACTAATTTTTTCAGAATAGATATCGCAAAATGAACTAGTGGAATTTTAGCAAGAGCCATAGAAATAAATTTTGACGTTTAAAATTTTTTGTGAAAAAAATTTATCTGTTAATTTATTCTACTTGAAAAATTAGTACATGAATTGATTTCTTTAAATGTTATATTGTATAAATTTTATAAACAATTACAAAGCATTTATAGTTCATTATATTTTATAAAAACTAATATTCGAATTTAATACTTATAATTTAGAAGACTTTGAAATATGACAAAACAATTTTGGAATTATCATCATATACCTGAATATGTTTACATAGAAGTACAAAAGACTCCTTAAGCGGAAGGTCATAAAAATGGGCGCATCGAAAATCCCAAAGATAATTAAATCAGTTGCAATTCGTGTGTTTATCTGTTTAGACGCGTGACCAACGCAAGTATAAATTTTGTAATTTTAAAAAGGAAAACATATTTTCTATAGCTTCTTTTATTCGATAATTTCATAATTTTGAAGTGATAGTTTCGGGAGTGTTCGAATCCTAATCGCGATCGAAAAAATTTTATAGTGTTAAATTTTTTTTTTATTTTATAGTACATTTTTTATTTCGGGAGTGTTCGAAATTCTTAAAATCGCGATCACTTTAATCATTGGAAAAAGTATTTTGTTTATTAATTAATTTAAACATGATTTCGGGAGTGTTCGATATTTTTTCAATCGCGTGTGTTTCCTGCATATTTTATCATCGAAAACAAAATATCAGTTGCAATCAAAGGTTAGAGATTTTTTTTTTTAAATATTAATTACATGCAGTTGTTTTTCTACAAAAAAAATTTTTTAATTAAAAAAAAAACAAAAAGATTAGTATTATTTTAAAGCTCACGAAAATGTCTTTTAAAAAAATATATTTAGACTACTTTTAAAGAGGTTCAACTAATTGATATAACTTTAAACTAAAAAATTATTTTGACAACAAATAAAACTCTTAATAAAAATTAATTTCATAAAATTTTGAATGAAATCTTCCAATAGGCCAATAAACAAAACCAACCAACCAACCTCTCCGAATATTAAATTTATCAACAGGGTGTAAATGGCTCATAATATATATTTTGATTTATATTTTCTAAAACGTTTTCTTTAGTGTTTTTTTTTAATTTCGAAATTTAAATTACAATTAAAATTTCCTTACTTCTTCGTCTTCATTATCTTCCGATTTTTTAAAATAATAGAGTACATCCTTATAACTCCAACCTGGATTTCCAAGACTTGCCCATGTATCGTAATCTTCAGAATTACCTCTAATGTATATCATGTAATTTAATGTACTCGATCCTCCCATTACCTGAAAAATTATATAATAATAATAATAATAATTTAACAAATTCTCACTAATTCAAATTAAGGGATTAATATATCTATATAACCTTATTATTTTTTTAGTCTAATTGTTTTGTGGACTAATCTTTATTCATTCTACTTTTAATTTGGCCTAATATTTTTATCTGTCCCAATTTAATATTTTATAATAAGGCTACATATTTAAAGTAGATATTATTTTTTGGCCAAATAAAAATTAAGTACCATTAAGATTAGGCCTAATAATAAATAAATAAAATGAAGATTATATAGGCGAAATAAGGATTAGATCCAATAAAAATGAGGCAAAATGAAAATTAGGTTTAATAAAGATTAGAAATTTTTATATTTAGATTAACAATAATAATAATAATAATAATAATAATAATAATAATAATTAGTGGTTACTTTTCCTCTTGCCCAATTGCAACCTCTGCTTATTCGTGAACGACATGATTTCTTCTCTGGTTGTGTCCGATACATCCAGTCAATATTACTTCCTTGAAGTAAACCCGCGAAAGATGGTACATCCGCTACTTTTGGCTCTTCGATTCCAGCTTCTAGTAAAAGAATCTGAAAGAATTTCACAAAAATGAATAATTTACATAATTACTAACTTTAAATTAATAAATATGACTCTAAAAATCTGCCAAAGAACGATTTGCAAGCGAAATCAAAAAATTTTAATTTTGGAGCCGTCATTTAAAATTTTAAAAAATTAGCCACAAATTCGTAATCAGCGACCTCAAAAACACCCGAATAACGTTTTTACAAGTGAATCTAATAAATTTTTTTAAAAAGTTTGTCCGCCATATTGGATCCGCCATTTTGAATTGCACTAAACTGACATTGAATTCACTGAATTCGAATTAGGTTTATCTGATAAGTACCAAATTTTTGAACTAGCACAGAGTTATTTATAATTATAATCATAATTATGTGTAATTAATAATAATTATATACATATCGAGTGGGAAATTGCCAATGGTAACCATTGGGCCATTATAGAACCAATGATGGTCCAATATTAGGCCAATGCTGCCAATATTAGGCTACACTTTAGCCAATGGTAAATTTCCCACTAGGTAATTATAATTATAATGTTTTATTTAAAAAATAAATAATAGAAAATAATTTTTTATGTGAGTATATCATTTGATAACTTTTTTTTTTGTCAGCTAATTACTTTTGATTAGTTGAACTTTTTCAATATATCACTCTATTTCAATATTTTATATTACTTGCACATTTCAATTGATTCTGGGACTATTTCAGCTTCATTAACTTTCATTTGCTGTTACCTTGTGGTTTTCTCGTAAATCCTAATAACAACAATAATAATGATTTATTTAATGGACTGTTCCGTTCTTTCAAAAGTCACGGTTATATTGCGATAAAATTAATGAATTCAACATTATTGAAAAACTTTTAGTATTTATTTTAACATTTATATATCTATATAGGTATAATAAATATATATTTCATGCTTAATTACAAAAAAAAAAAAAAAAATTGGATTTTTCAAAAGAAAAAAAATCTTTATTTTTTGGGGAAAATTAATAAAAATTTATAAAAGACCTTTCTTAAAGTGTTATCAATTTTTTGTGGAAATATATTAATTAAGATTAATCACTAATCATTGTTTCTTTATTTTCTCTTTTCTAAAAAATCGAAAGTTTTCATATATAATTGTCACTTTAATGTTAGGTTAAAAGCACCTCGTTTTTTTTTGGGGGGGGGAAATCTTCAATCTATTTTCTTTAAACTTACATTTCCTTTAGAAAATAGCGTGATATTATTATTTTTTGTTTAATTAAGCACAAACAACTAAAAATATTATTAACTTAAAACATATTATTCTCAGTGAAACGTTTGTGTACTTTTTCTTTTGTCACTTTTTATCCCTGTAACATTATAACAGAAAACAAAAATTAAAGAGAAAGGTCAGTTGTAAAAAGCGATTTCTTATTAAAAAAAAAAAAAAACAAAACAAAATAAAGTTTAATACTCTTAAAAAAAATAGAAAACAATAATTGATATTAAGATATTATTTTTATAAGTAGTTACAGTAGAAAATAATAATAATTAAATAATTTTGTTAGATTCGAATAATTCTCTATAAATTTTATTTTTTCCTTTTTATTATTTGTAAATAATCAGTTAGAATCACTTATTTTGGTAACTCATAGTGAATTTTTAAAGTATTCATTCTTTAATAAATCTTTCCATTAAAAATAGTTTATATTAGAAAAGTAAATAACACGATTTAAATTTTGAACATTTGTTTTTAAAGAATAACCAACATATTCTTATTTTCACTTACAAATTTTGATAAATTTTTCCTAACCGGAAGTGCCCTATTTTGTGAGTTTATCTTTTATTTAAATAAATGACGGTTTTTACAATTTTTTATTTCTAACTTACATTATATTTATGATTATTATATTAACATTATATAAAATACTTGAAAATAATTTTGAAAAATCTTGCTCGAGTGGCGGATTCGAACCCACACGGAAAAAAAATAGTTCGTGAAACTTTCGTCAACTAGTTGTTCACTTTTGAACGGGCCCAAAGTTTGGAAATCTTTCATTAACTTTTTTCAAAATTCCACAAACTTTTTTTTGTGCGCGTGCGCATACATTGATTATGTCATGAAAAGAGTGATGAACTTGTGAACTCGTGAAATCTTGGAAAATGTTAATGAAAGATTTCCAAACTTTGGGACCGTTCAAAAGTGAAAAACTACTTTACAAAAGTTTCGCGAACTATTTTTTTCCATGCAGGACCCTTGGAACGCAAAATCGTGTACTCTGCCCACACAGTCATTTTATAATAAAATTTCTAAAAAAATATTGACAAAAAAAAATTATTACATTAATTTAATTTTTTACCAAATAATCATTTTATTTTAACAATTTTTTTTAAATTTAGCGCCATTATGCATAGTTTTGTGTTATATGGTTGGTATTTGTACTTATTAATTCATAAGAATCCTAACTTAAAAATTCTGCTATTTAATTTTGTGAATTACAGTAAATCAACTTATTTTTTTTTCGATAATATATATTTGTTTATAAAAACTATAGTTTCCAGTTGCACGGAATTATTCTTTTTTTTTTTCTTTATATAATTTCGTTAGCCAATAATAATTTAATCCAAATAGACAAATACCAGAGATAATTTTCTTCTCCCTTCTTTAGATTTCTATAACACTCATTCATACAATATAGCATTTTATAATACCTATGTTAATTATTATTTTTATTATCAAACATTAAATTTTTTAAATTATTTATTTATTATTTTATTATTATTTTTTTTTGTTTTTATTTTCTTTCCTTGTACTTAAAAAAAATTTTCCCCCTTATATAAAAAAAACCAATTAACATCTTTACTACAATTTTGAAAAATCCAAAAAAATATCGTTTTATTATGAAATTGATTATAATTAAAATTTATTCTAATAAGAAATTTCTTCAATTATGTAAATTATATCTTTGTTTTATATAGTGAAGGTTAACAATTTCATAACCTTCAGAATAGGACATAATACGATTTAAATGGAACTAACTAGAACGTTGTTTATTCACGAGGGTAGAAAATGGCATAAAGGTGGGGCAATACAATTTAAATGTCGTTTAAAGTCAATCTGTATACACCGTATAATATCAATAGTAGTTGAGCGAATTTTTTTTTTTTTTTTTTTTTTTACAATAGATTATCTCTTTTTGTAGGCGTGGTTTCTTAACGTGGGCCTAAAGCAAACTTTCGCAATTATAGAGAAAAAAATACTCTAATGCACGAACGATTTTCACACTGTTTATAAAAGATTGCAGAAATGTAACGTATTCGTAAAATATATAAGGTTATTCCACGCCAAATCAGACACTATTTGGCATTTACATTTCCTATTATTTTGAAACTTTTTTTTTTCTTATTACTAATTGAGACTCGCTTTCGTGATTTTTTTTCAATTTTTTTAGCAAGCCGTATACGAGTTAAAAAATTTTTTCAATTTTTCAGAATTTTAATGATTTTTGCTTCCTCGTGGAGGAAGCTTTGTAGTCCTTTCATTTATAAAACTTTTCAAAGTGGCGGAAACAAATTTTTTTCTCTATAGAAACATGTTATATGAGATCCTGATCAATTGTCCGGATGTATGTATGTATGTGTGTGTGTGTGGATCCATTTTTTGTTTAGAAGATAACTTTAACAGGTTTTAATGGATTTAGTTAAAATTTGGTAGGCTCATTTATCATATTAATATCTCAAATCTGACCAAAGGATTTTGAAAATAATCAAAAAAAAAAAATTTTATCGTCTTTTTTCCAAAAATTTTTTTTTAATCGAAAAAATTTTTAAATAGAAAAATTTAAGGTTATATATAATAAAATCGTTTTCCTTACGTCAAGACGAATCGATCGATATATATAAAGTATACATTTGAAGAAAATTTAAAGAATTAATGAAAGTTAAAAAATCAAAAATTCACATTTTGGCAATAAAATTTTGCTTTCTCCACGAGGAAGCAAATTTTTTTGCTGATCGTAAAGAGGAAGCAAAATGTTCATGTAATGAACATCTGAATTTACAACTTGTTTATTTTTGAATTCTCATAATTTCCTTAAAAATGCATCAATTTTAAAAGTTGTTTTTTTAAATTGAGTATTTGGTGCTCCTCTTAGAGATAATAATTTTACTTTTAAAACTGTTTGCATCCTTCATTTTTTTTTTAAATTTTCAAAAAAACTACTTTTTTTACAAAAATTTTTAGACTGGTACGGTCGTAGTAAAACAAATTTTTCAATAATTTTGGAATTTTCGAAATATTTAATTTTTTTAAACTCCGCTTTTTTTGTATACTACGTACATTTATGCATTTTAATGTCCACATAACGAAAATCATAGTGACAATTTGCATATTTTAACCAATAAAAAAAAAACGACAAATAATAGTTTTTTACTAAATAGAAATAATTTTTTCTTAAATTTAAAAAAAAAAAATGAAAGGATACAAACAGTTTTTAAAAATAAAATTTTAAGCTTTAAATTGCAAAAAAAATATAGTTAATTATTTTTCTCAAATTTTTTGCACCAAATTTTCGAAAAGCTCACGTAGAAACACAAAAAAAAATTTAAATTGCATTTAATAAATGACGTGCATAAAAATAAATATTAAAAGTTTATGTATTTTAAAATTCAAATGAAAATAATTTTTTATTATTAATATTTTTATCTACATTTTATTGTTGAGAATATTTTCAAATATACAACTCAAAAAAAATAATAAAACATTGAACTAAAATAATAATGAAAAATATTCTTTAGAATTGATCTAGATTAACCCCTTCGCAGTGTAGCAGAAATAAAGCTTCCGTGCCCCGTATGTGGTAAAAAAAATTTTTTAAAAAAAAACTTGATGTTACCATACCTAAGAATACCCATTGACAAGTTTATCGTATTGTGTCTACTTATTTTTTTCTAGATGCTACTATAGCGGTCATTCACACTGGTGGCACGATATTTTTATGCCTCTATAGAGGTCAATAACAGTGAAGGGGTTAACACTA